TTTGGCTAGTCAGCTACAAATTGCATTTTTTGTTATATTAAATTTGAAGTCCCTCACACTGCTAGTGCACTTCAAGCTCTGCATGTTGAGCAGGGAGAAGTGCTTTCTTTTAGGTTTGCCAAGTGAAAAGTTCGACGTGCCTCTCATGTGTTTCAGAGGGCAGTTGTGAGTTAGTCAAGTGTTCGTCAGTCGATAGAAAGTGCGATCTTCGATTGTCAGAACAGTCGTCTTGAGATACTTGTGCCGAAGTCGCAACTTTCTGCCACTCGGAGTACAAATGCAGCCAATCTTTAAAACGTATTACCCCTGTTTATAGCGGCATGCACAGAACATGCAGTCAAGGGTCTGTGAAAGCGTACCCTCAGCGGTGATTTCCAATTATTTACTGAACATCCAACTCCCAAAGCTATAACAAGATCTTATTGTCCCGATGGAAGCTTCCTATATCTCGTCGGCATTGTACCGTAATCTCGCGCATATAAGGTCATGGTCTTATAATCGAAAAGTTGCTGTTTTTTCTCCAATTTAGGCGCGTTGAGACACTGGCACCCACAAAAAGTGTCAGACACAACTGAGAAGAACCCCACAACAACAGCAATGTGTATATCAGGAAATGAGGAGGTACAACCCAAAGGAAGCAAGCGTGAACGCTGAGAACCAAAACAGCATCCCGACCAGCTGAGCATACTTCCTCCGGAAACAAAAGCTTCGTGACTTTTTCACTAATATTCTCTGCTATTCTGTCGCTCTCTCTGTGGCTCTGTCGGCCTGAAACAACAACAGATGACATTGCGTAACCGTAGGAAGCCATGTTTCACATTTTGGAAAGCCGGCAGTCTTCGTAAGGCAAGGGCGTCATGCTGTAAACCAAGCGAAGCCAAAATGTTTTGCATTTTTGTCCACCAGGTACATTGCCAGGCAAAGCACTGCGCTCACTGCTCGTCGTTGCCAGTTTTTGGTTCAGAATGAGAATGAGCAGGACAATGGCACCGAGGAGCAAGAAGAGAGTCGAAGGGATAGCAGCTAATGTTTTGAAATCTGCATCATCCCCAAAAACACCAGCCATAGTGCGAACAGGTCGGCAAGATGTCAAAACTCCAAAACGCAAAGATGTGACACCCGTCACTTCGCCGCGGCAGCAGAGCAAGACGAAAAGTTCAAATCGAAGTCGTTGTTCAGCCACCACGGAGCCCATTCCTCAACGGGGATGATCTCGCCTTTTTCAGCAGCCTCCACTCCGATGTCTCCTTGGTTGCAAAGGAGAACAGGCGATATCTTCTTGCAGCAGTCGTGAAGTTATGGGACGAAAACCCCACGGAGAAATGGAAAATGTTTGGCTTTGGTTGTATGCGTCGTTCCTGGGCGTCCTCAAGAGCGGAGGGGATAATGAGTAGCAGCGCCATCGCTGTCTCCAACTGGAGGCTAGGGAAGGCACCGGTGTAACTTATATACTAGTATCAGCCAAGGCGATCAGGGACGCCGAGACGCTGCTTTGTGACATGTGAGAACGGGGCAATTGACCTGCCACTTTGTTTCGTTCCAGGGCTGATGAATCGAGCGATAACGCCCTCAGACTGAGACTCTATTCCCATCGATCGATCTTGTACATGTGTTCATTGAACGTGTCGAAGTGTTTCCTTTCCAATAGAACACTTATGTTGAGCGCAGTAACCCCTTGAAAAGTCATGTGAAAAAGTCACGAATGTTTTGTTTCCGGAGGAAGTACATACAAAATTATCACTTGAAGCACGTTCAGAACACTGCAAAAGCATCTCCATGGCAATAGTGTCGTTCCTTGTATTGTCTATGACAACTCGTAGAGCCATGGTGTGAAGAGAGCCAGAGAGATGCATGCCTCCTGTCTGGCACTCTCCCCATTGCACTATGCGATACTGATTCTACCAAAAAGGAAAAAGGTAGGCAAACAAAGCCAAAAAAAGTATGAGAAAAAGAAAAATGGAAATGCCTAAAGACGCACACTGATGATCATGCCTCATCGATTCCCTGGGCACCAACAGCACTGCCTCCTCTTCTGCTGGTACCGGACCTGGCTGCTGTATCATTGCTACCACTGTTGTCGACTGCCCAGAATTGCCAGTAAAATTCATCTCTGGCACATGTCTTCTGCAGTTTGACCTGCCCTGGTGTGTTTTGCGCTATGCACTTGCCTGTGGTGCAAATCGACTATTGCTAGTCAAGGGGTGTGTGTGTGTGTGTGACACACCACTGGTTTGCAAGGCTCACCTATAACATCCGTAACTGACGAATGTGGCATAACCTCATTGCATCAAATGAGAAAATCAATGATGGGTGGTCTGGAGATCGATGCGAATAAATTTTGGTTTATAATTATTTATGTGAAGAAGAGGTTGGTGCGACTTCGGCGGCGGTAGTAGGGGAAGAGTGTGTTGCTCCCTACATGGGAGCTCGCGGTTTTCCTGCCGACTTGAATTCTCACTTGACTGACTCACGACTGCCATACAGAGCACACGAGAAGTCCATCGAACCGTCCACTCGGCAAACCTGCAAGAAAGCACCACTCCCTGCTCAATACACAGTGTTTCGGGGAACTCACCCCTCATCAGTTGAGCTTGAGTAGGCTGAAGAAGATTGTGCCTGAAGAGCACCACTTATAATTATAGTGCTCTCCAGGCACAAACATCACCAGGGACAAACTTACAGAGATGCTCCGTTTCCAGCGCGACAAACACAGGTGTCTCTGTAAGTTTGTATCCCTGGTGATGTTTGTGCCTGGAGAGCACTATAATTATAAGTGGTGCTCTTCAGGCACAATCTTCCTCAGCCTACTCAAGCTCAAGATGAGGGGTGAATTCCCCGAAACACTGTGTATTGAGCAGGGAGTGGTGCTTTCTTGCAGGTTTGCCGAGTGGACGGTTCGATGGACTTCGCGTGTGCTCTGGATGGCAGTCGTGAGTCAGTCAAGTGAGAATTCAAGTCGGCAGGAAAACCGCGAGCTCCCATGTAGGGAGCAACACACTCTTCCCCTATACTTATTTATATTGGAAATACTCAATGATGCAGACAGCCAGACTGTTTCGGCCAATGAGGCCTCATCAGTGCAACTCCGAGCTTAAAATAGGATCAAACTGTCAGCCATGGCTACGAGAACCACAGACATTAGGACAGCTCGATGTACTAGCGCTGAGAGTGCTCAAACTACCAGAAGTAGCGGGAAAAGCATAAAAGCGGCTAACCAGCGCAAGTGCGTCCTATTGAGAGTGCTCTACAAGATCGAAATCGAGGAGCGAAATACTCAATGATGCAGACAGCCAGACTGTTTCGGCCAATGAGGCCTCATCAGTGCAACTCCGAGCTTAAAATAGGATTGAACTGTCAGCCATGGCTACGAGAACCACAGACATTAGAACAACTCGATGTCATAGCCAGCAATCGCATGTCATCACGTACATTCAAAATCAACATAATTTTGCGAATCGACCTTTTTTTCAGGATCACTTTTCAACGAGGACGAAGCAAAGTCGGCCGAACGAAGCCTAGAGGAAGAAAATCACCCTCTCCACTTCACCATCACGATACTGACATAGATACGAGATGAAACAACTAAAAAATCCACAAGAAAACTGTACGGCCATCATCGCGCTGACTTTGGTCTGACTTTGGTCTGAGAATTTCTATCACGATCAAAAATGTACGAGGAGCACTCAAAAATAAGCCACAGACGTACCTTTATCGCTCTCTACTCCTTTTTCAAGGCACAAAAGTCGACTCTCCACTTTCAAACCAGGAACCAGACATACCAGTGGTCCTTTTCAGCTGCTCCACGAGCGCAGGAAATGTTCACCAAGGGGCGCAGAGCAGCATCCATTCCAGAAAAAGAGCTAAAATACGAGTGAGACTGCATGCCTGAGTACATGAGTACATGTATGAGTACATGCAGAAAATAGTCAATTTCAGCGTTTCTGCTCCAAACAGCAACTAGCTTCGACTGGAAACAAAGATTACACCAAAGGATCAAACAACAACCATTTTCTGTAGTTTTTTTGCAGATGGCTTCCTTGTGCAAGGCCCAGCACGCCAAAAATCACACCTCGGAGGAGTACAAAAATTACAACTCTCAGATGTCCTCGATTGCTGGCCATGACTAGCACTGAGAGTGCTCAAACTACCAGAAGTAGCGGGGGAAATATAAATTTGAAGTCTCTGTGGAAGCAGAAGCTGTGGGCGCTGTAGGCCGGAGCTAACAGCCAGAACAGGGCTATTTACAACTGCCTAGAGATATTTGAGCTGCTGCAGTATTCTCCGTGAGCTGTCCCAGTCCACAATGGTCCATACTACCATTATTTCTGGTACTATCCATGTGCATAATTCCAAGACAATCTCAGTTTCTTCTGCAATTTGCGCCACGACAAAAGTACATAACAATACTTGACTCGGTCACTGGGGCTGTCACACTTCCCATCAACAATGAACTTCGATTTCTAATCTGTTCCAAGTATATGTACTGCCATGATTTGACCATGCTTCATCCACAGCTGGGCGAAGAATGTGGCGTTGAATTCCATAGCGCACCTTCTTGCTGCTATGCAGAAGCGAGCAAATCGTTACTGAAAAACAGCCACGGAAGAGGATAGCAGCAAGCTTGGGTGAATTTTCTGCAGGTACACGTTGTTGGTAGGTCCACTGGTCGGTCTCCATATCGTCAATTTCAGAAATCACCTGTACTACACATATTGTAGGAGGCATCTTGATTGAGATACTTTCTGGTCATAAAATTCACTAAAAGAGTGAGACAAATAGTCAGTACTCCCCGATTCCGTCAAGCTGCTTCGAAGTCTGCGTGCTCATGTAATGCTAACAAGCTCCCCGTTGTTATTCCTAGCGGCTTCCCTCTCCCTGCGACAGCGGCTATCAACCTCTCTCTCCATCGTCAACAAGTATCACAGATTCAACATTCTACATCATCAGCACTGGGTGAATACGTCTCGAGACAAATTTAGCGGATCAACTACGCTTTGCTGGAGATAAATTCTCCTCGGGAGGACCTTCAGGGTACCTGGAAGGGTATAGAAGACGGAATCGCTCACGACGTTGGGAGAATATAGCAAACAGCGTCCTCTTCGATTGAAACAATTCTCCAAAAAGTATGTGAAATGTATGCCCACTGATGTATTCCACTGGCAAGCTAATCCTTCATTCTGTCATAGGGCTTCTGGAGACTCGTTCTTGTTCGAGGGGTCTTCTCTTTCACCTACCTTTGTCTTGGCACCGAAAACTCGGCACCGAAAATGAAGCCGGATTGCCCCTTTTTGAAAGTTACTACTTGAGGCGTTTTCATCTGTATACGACGCACAGCAACATGGCGATATAATCCATGGCGTTAGTAGTATCTATGACAACTCGTAGAACCATGGCGTGAAGAGAGCTAGAGAGTTGCATGCGTCCTGTGTACATCACAAATGACTTGGTTTGCATACTCTGCCACCCCCCCCCCCTCCCCACTTGAAAGTTGACATGAATGGCAACAGCGACTTCAAAATGTATCTTTAAACTCTGATTGTGTCAAACTGATTTTCCTCATGTGGGTCCAAACATATCTATATTGAATCTGTCCTTGCAATATGATGCCATTGTTGTCCAAGTCGAACATCTGTGTGTTCATGCTTGCTTGTATGCATGTGTATGTGTATGCATGTGAATATGTTCGTGTGTGCATGTGCATATGTTTGTGTATGTTCATGTATGTTGACAATATGCAGGCTACTGGGTACCGACGATAGGCCTTCCCCGGTGGGTGTGCAGCCCAATGCGTCTCATCTACCCGGAATTGAGGCTGGCGTACCCGTTTGTCGACGTGCCCTGTTATTACAGTGTGGACAAGGTACAGTGTCAGTGGTGCAGTGTTCCTCTGTTTCTCTGCAGTCATGTATTCGGTACAGTGGTGCAGTGTTCATCTGCAGTCATGTATTCGGTACAGTGGTGCAGTGTTCCTCTGCAGTCATGTATTCGGTACAGTGGTGCAGTGTTCATCTGCAGTCATGTATTCCGTACCGTGTACGAGTATAAGTACTGTTGGGCGCCGAAGAACTGGAGGGGGGGGGGGGGGGTCAGGGTTCTAGCCTAGGCCGTTCTTATTTTTAGCGAACACAGCAGCTTCGTTCTTATTCGATGGTATAGTCTTACATGTACATGTATGCAGAGTTATACGTCTGAGTGTACATTATAAAGTACATTACGATTTCCGTTCTTATCTGCAAAATATCCAGGCGACACCGTTCTTAAATATTGGTTAAATTATAGCCTGGCCGTTCTTCGGCGGTCTGTTCTTCGACGGTCTGTTCTTCGGCGGTCTGTTCTTCGGCGGTCTGTTCTTCGGCGGTCTGTTCTTCGGCGGTCTGTTCTTCGACGCCCGACAGTACTGTAAGGCGAGTACCCCCAATCGAACTCGCCACTTCCACTGAAACTGGGGGACTGCGCCCTACTAGATGGGGATTTGTATGCCAAATGTCACTAAACGCGCCATTTCGTTCTTATAAAAGCACGGATGACCGCGTTTGGCCCATATGTTGTAGTCTTTTGGACGCTGAGTCGACTGGTTTTAGTCCGAGAAGGCTGCGATGCAGCGTTCGCCCCTTATTCCCAATTGAACATGGTTGAATAAGTGGTCATGTGCTCATGTGTACACCAATCACCTGGTCACCGTGCCTGCAGGGCAGAACTTACAGCCTGTTTGGGTGCGTTCCTGTCACTTGAGTTGAGCCTTGGTGTGAAAGTAATGTTGTAGCCTGCAGGCACGGTGACTAGGTGACTGGTGTACGCATGAGTGTGTGACCGCTTATTCAACCATATCAGGCCCGTCGCACTGACTTTGGAGGTGGGGCGGCCGTGGAAAGGGGGTGCGGGGGTCCTCCCCCGGGAAATTTTTCAAAAATTGAAGCCAATTGCAAGCATTTCCGGGCATTTAGTGCCATTTCAGTGTAACTACAATGAAAGACTTTTTGATTCTGCAACAAACCAAGAAGACGCTACGATTGGGGACATGGGTTCTTCATTATCTTCCCACGGCAAAAAATTTCAAAAATTGAAGCCAATTTGCAAGCATTTCCAGGCATTTGGTGCCATTTCAGTGTGTTCTGAGTGCAATGAAAGACTGTTTTGATTGTGCAATAAACCACGATCGGGGACACGGATTGCGGATTCTTCATTATTTGCCACGTTTGGGCTGAGCTGCGATGATGGAGTGTGCTCCAAAAAAAAAAAAAAAAAAAAAAAAAACGCCGAAAAAGTGGGGCGGCCTCAGCCGCCCCAGCTGTGACGGCCTTGCATATTCAATTTGGAATATGGGCCGAACGCTGCGTCTCAGCCTTCTCGGACCAAAACCAGTCGACTTAGTGTCCAAAAGACTACAACATTTGCTTTACGAAATTGTTTACTCTCTGGCATAGGGTGGTGCAGGCAATGTGAACTGTGGGAACATGTGAAGCCGTGGGCAACTCGCGTGCGCCAGTGTGCACACACCCCTTTCTCACTGGCATCAAGCGCTTCCCTGCTGGACCGAGTGGCAATCTCTGGGGATCGGGTTTCCGGCAGTTGCAGCAGCGCCTTTCCTGTACCAAGCGGGTGAACTGTTCATGTTGCAGTCTGCTAGACCTTAGCCTCCGTTCAATGTTACTAGGAAATCTACTGGTAACTGATTCTAGCTTCGACAAGGCCAATTTGCTCTGCAGTGCGTGCTGCCTGAATGGCACCCACAAGTATAGCTGGATGTTGCTGTAGCACGTCTTGCTTCAGTGGACGTGCTAAGCCAATGGTGAACAGCAACGCTCTGGAAAAGTTCATCACATAATCATCCAGCATGCCCAATACGCTGTGCTAAAAGAAGCTTTAGACGAGCTTGTTCTTGATCGTGCAGAGGGCTGTATGCCTCAGCAAGAGCAGCCTTGAGAGATGTCCAGTCAGTCCGCGTATGTTTGCCCTGTGTACATTGAGATGATGATTGTGTCAGATGCATGCATACCCAGTAAGATAGCTTACAGCAACCTCCACAACCCTTTTCTGAATGGGTCTTGGATGGCAAGTGACTGCATTGCCGATGGGGGAGAGGGGGAGAGAGGGAGACTGAGATAGAGGTAGAGAGGTAGAGGTGGAGAGAGGGAGAGAGGAGGGGGGAGGGAGGGGGAGAGATAACACAGATAACTATATCCTTTACTGGCTAATGAGAAGGGGACCCTCATGGTCTCAGCGATGCGTAGTCAGGGGCGTTAGAAGGCATTTTAGTCATCTGAGTTGCTCGTGGGGAAAGGATGGCTGTGCCGGAAATTTTGGAAATTTAGAGCCCAAATCAGTGCATTTTTGATTCACGGGGTACTTGGGGCAAATAGTGGTACGGTCAATACCGTAGTGATCGTATGCGTATGCGGCAGCGATGCGTAGTGTAAGGCATAGAGCAGTGGCAAATGTACATGCACACTTGCTACTACTTTAACCAGTTACTGAGCTGGAGCAACCGTCGTGTCCACAAAGTGTCGGACTGCGGTATTGCGGCAGCAACAGCGTTACGCCGCTTCATCAATTTGATGTAGTCGCAATAGTTGCTTGGGCAATAGCATTGGCTTTTCTAAGGATTTTCGAACTGCATTGCAGCCATTTACACTTTACTCTTCTTCAATCTAGAAACGCGAGCCCGGTCTCTCTGCAGCAGATGTCAATTCACGTTCACCAAATTTTCCCGCGTGGACCAGTGGAAAAAATCTGGGTGAAACAGTAAAACTGATGATGGGCCACACCCGAAACGTTGCTGAACCTGAAGTGACATCCACAGCAGAAAGACCATGTTGTGTGTTTGGATTGGAAAACGTAATATCATGGCAGTACTTTTTTGTACTTGCTTGTTCAGGTGGCGACTTCTTTTCTTGATCACCCACAGAGGAGTAGCAGCCACCTCTTAGAGTCATGATTGTGCTTGCATAACCATTCATCTACATACTTGCAAGCAGAAAAAATGCAACTCCATGTTTGTATCTTGAGAGAGAGGTGGCGGTGGGGGTAATAGCACCAGGTGTATGGACTGTGGTACTGACTGGTAGATCAGGAACGGTGGAAGCAGATTTTGATTGGTCCGGCCATACCATAGCCATACCATAGCCATACCATAGCCATACCATAGCCATACCATAGCCATACCATAGCCATACCATAGCCATACCATAGCCTTTGTGTATGATATGGAGGGTAGACACATGACCTCCTCAGCAGCACGTTGGTGGCCAGAAAATTGGTCTGTCAATGGCCTGACCAACCGGACTGGTTCCGCCAGGTCTGTAGATACGGTAGCTGTACACCCGTGGGGGGGGGGGGGGGGGGGAGGGGGTAGCACAATATCAGAGATCTAGAAGGTCAAGTCACGAGGATTTCATTTCCGTGCGGTGTTCCTCTGCTTTCAGGCAGCAGCTGTGTTCGGCATGGATTTCATGCCACTCGGCGAGTCCATTGTGGACATGGCTGAGTCGTTTGAAGACCTGGGCATGATCAAACCCACACGTGCACCCATCCTGCCGATCGCCAGTAGCACACGTGGACGACGGTCTTCCGCAGGGACCACTGACGATGTCGGTGATGATTATGACGGAGATAATGCACATGTTATTGCGTCCTGGAGTGATTATTGCCCGTCTGATGCGGACGTGCGGCCTAGTCGATAGCAGATGCTGACTATGTACAAGCAAGTACTGCTGAGAAGCCTGAGTAAGTATCAGAAAAATTGCAAGCAGCAAAATTGATACTGCCTTGAACAGAGTCTGAACTTTTAAGAATGGTTAGGTGATGACAGTGTTTCATTCCAAGTTCTGGCATGGAACAATTATTTATCGAGGCCTTGACAAGATTTGCTTTTAGGTATCTCAAAATTCTCAAAGAAAGAACTGGACTTTTGCAACCAGGAAACATATTCCGTGTTTTGGAAATGAAAATCGAGGCTATGTTGTAACTGGTTGAAGTAAGTTTATCTATGACCTGACCATTACTTTCACTGTGGAGCCTTTGGGTGAATCTTGGGCTGACCGCAGGTCCTGAGTGTTCACTTTAGGGTGGTTATCCTGATACTGAGATATCCCAGGCCTGACCCATGCACACACGTACACATGCACACACACCTACTCACGCACACACGTCAGGCGAAATAGCGCGCCATAGTACATTTGAGACCAGCGGGAAGAAGATGACGACTGTCCACTAATTTAGTATCTGTGCACACGAATGTGTTGTGTGTGTGAATTTGTGTGTCAGCTATGACATCAAACCCTGTGGTACTGCATGTACTTGCCTAGAAAATAAAGTAGTTCAGAACCCTCCTGTAAAGTTTGAATGTTGTAGGTTTGAATGATCGCGCGGACAACCAAACATTTTGAAATTCTCTTCGTAGTATGCCTTCCACTATGGAAATTTCGAATTTCTTGCTGAGAGGGGTAGCTTGCAACCTCGATATGGCTAGGGGTAGCTTGCAACCTCGATATGGCTTGTTCCAGGCATGCTTTGAAGCGAAACCCTGTTGAAGTAGTGGCGGCGATCTGCCCTGCAACTGCGACAACGATCTGAGAAAGCGTGAGACGGACAAGCTCGGTTGAATATGGAGTATTTCAAGCCTTTTTGACGAAGATGGAGTTCTTTTTGGATATGGACGTCGCGGCAAAGGACATGGTTTCCGACTTCTGGCGTCTGGTGAAGCCAGGGATCATTTGTCCAGGCATGTCGGTAGCCTAACCGTCGGTAAGCTTGTGAGTAGGATCCCGTTTTGCTCGATGTGGTAGATCACGAACAATTTTGATATCGCACAAACTGAACTCTGCATCGTACGTACGGTATTTTATATTCAGAAAATCGCAAAGTGTCTCTGTGTGGCCATCCTATGCCACGAGAAACTCCAATCAGGCTCTTATGTCCTCTGCCTTCTTGATTGAATGTCCACTTCGTTTGAACAAACGTGCTCAGGATGAGACTCGAGTACACATGTACTCTCCCAGCAGGTTCTGTGGATGCCGCCAAGAGTACATAACCCCCAAGAGTGTGCAACTCCAGCTATGGGGTCTGCGACGGCAGAACTTCACATCACGTGATGAACCCGTACACATCATTTGCACTCTGTGCATGATAAATACAGGGTTGTACGCAACCCAGCTTTGGGTACAAGTCTCTTGTGGTCACTTTGCACTGTTCGCCGGCATAACCTTTTGAACCATGTCACGTGAAGTGAAGTTCTGCCGTCGCAGCACAGCATAGAGGTTGTGCAGGCAGTTGCACACTCTTGGGGGTTATGTACTCTTGATGCCGCTCATAGATGCGTAATTTTGCGTGATGCACACACACTCACGCACGTAGTTTTGCTGGGCTACCACATCGGCGATGTCCTGATAAGCCTCTGGTCGCTGTATGCGGAGAATGGAGAAAGCCTTTGTGCAGACACATTGGTCAAGAACATATCTCCTGTCCCATCTGCATTCTAGTTGAAGCTGAGAATCTGCACAGAAATGTGTCTCTGAGAATTGGTAAAATTGCAGAACAATCAGGTAGTGTACGGAGTACAGTCATGTATATAGCCACCCACATAATATGGGCAATGTAGGGCCAGAGTATTAACATTTTTTGTTGACTTTACATCCAAGTTTACGCTTTCACACTCACTTGCACAATCTTACTTGAAGTACATGCCCGAGTGTGGATGCCGTCACAGTTGAGTACGGAGGTTTTTTTCCTGGATGCTTCATCTACACGGGCACTCAAATCTGCAGTGCATGGGATAGATAACTGCAATCTCCCCTGGTGATTACGTTGTGTCTTCGTAGAGCCTGTAGTTCAACTAGCTTCAGCCTGTGAAGGATTGAGTCTTTTGCATCCGTTTCGACTGAAATTGTACGCGTTGCTAGGGTGTTTGCGATGGGCCTGATTTTAATATGGTGGGTTTGAAAAAGAGAGTAAATTATCGTGTCCGTTCCCAAAGGGAACTTATAACGGCCGCTAACACCCGGTAACGGCCGCTAACACCCGCTAACACCCGGTAAAATCAGTGGCAGACACAGCACCTAACCTTGGGGATGAGGGATAAGATCCACAACCGCACCGGTGCCAAAACGCCCATTACAGCCGCATCCTTGTTGGATGGATCAGGAAAACAATTGCCGGCGGCTAGTGGGAGCAACCTATGGGTAATTGACTAATTTTCAATAACATTTTGGCGGACTCATGAGGAAAAATAAATGTCAGATCTTTTGGATTGGTGGTTGAATTTCCCAGTTTTGTGCCACTGACCTGCATCAAAACTGTTTCCAGCAAGAGTGCCAACAAGGTTACTTCAAGCAACCGTGTCTCCCGAACGGCAGGTCGGATTTTGACAAGCTTTGTTTGTTTTCTGGCTCATTTTTAAAATGTCCTACTCTATCCAATAATAAAAGCGTGAGCTCCAGGATGGGGAGCAACTAACTTCCTTAGCAGTAGACATGTCTTTACCGATAAGTTGGCTGTCGTGGGTGGAGCACATCTGGTGGATTAGTGGTATAACAAATTTATAACTGAATTTTTGGATGTGATTCCACTTGTGTGCGCAGACACAAAGTGGTCCCCCCCCTCTGGGTATGATAATGTTTGGTGAACAATAGAATGAGTGATGATTGGTAGATGTTACATTCTTTATAAATAGGCTACTATTCTGCTTAGCAGTTGATGCTAACACTACGGTCCGAAGCAGGGGCATCACAGGGCAGTGTGGAGTGGTATGACGGGAGGGGGTCCGGGGTGTCCCTCGTGGAAAAAGATCGGGTTTTTCGGCCAACAGGACAAGTTTAAGCGTTCGGGGCGGATGATCCTGGTCGAAAAGCCGTACCGTGTGTGACGCCCCTGCGCAGTACAGTGGCGCCATTTCGAAACCGTGAAGTCTGTAGTACAGTGAAGTCTGTAGTATATTTGCACTTCAATTAGATAATATTGGTATGTATAGATTGTGTGCGTGCCTGCATGCGTGTAACCGTGAGTGTGTGCAGTTCACTATTTGCAGTTTGGCGGATGCACTGGAAAACAGAGATTGAATGCGTGCTTTAACATTCTAAGACAGGCATAGCCAAACATGTTTTGGACAATTGTTCTTCAGCATGCAGTGTTGTAAAATGATGTGTTGTTTTCCTGTGTGATGGCATTCCCCAAACTGTCTCGTCTAGTCGCGTGCATGTGTGATATGAGCATGCGCGATTTTGTAGTCGAGAGTCCTTTTGTCAGTGTTCTTGTTCGTCCCTTTGAGGGTTGTCTCCATTTCCGTATTGTCAATAATTATTATGTAAACCAAACTAGTCTTGTCCTTTGTGTCCTGCGTCCCGGGGAACGGAATGGCTGAGATTCCGTTACAGCAGTGTCGCATGTAGACCTTTAATGCACGTAATGATTGTCATGGGAGCAGAAGAGCTATGTTATAGAGACAATTGATTATTTGAACCCTTAGGTGCATATGCCATTCAGAAGAGATTCGAATAAGAGAAATGTTCTGATAATGCGAGAGTCACAGATAATGCATGCAATATAGGGCTCATACTTGCATTATGATACATCAATATTTTATTTTATTTAGTGGTCCCATCACCCCCCCCCCCCCCACGCGCCCACGCGCAAACATGGGCTCTTCCAGTCACGGAGGTCATGGGCAATGGCGGGTTGGTGCGTGTGTGTGTGGGGGGGGGGGGGAGGAGGGACAGAAGGGGTATGCATGTGAGTGTGTAGGTTCTACTAGTTCTCTCGCTCTTTCCGTATCTCTTCCTGTCTCTCTCTCTCTGTCTGTCTCTCTCTCTCTCTCTCTCTCTCTCTCTCTCTCTCTCTCTCTCTCCTCTCTCTCTCTCTCTCTCTCTCTCTTCTCTCTCTCTCTCTCTCTCTCTCTCTCTCTCTCTCTCTCTCTCTCTCTCTCTCTCTCTCTCTCTCTCTCTCTCTCTCTCTCTCTCTCTCTCTCTCTCTCTCTCTCTCTCTCTCTCTCTCTCTCTCTCTCTCTCTCTCTCTCTCTCTCTCTCTCTCTCTCTCTCTCTCTCTCTCTCTCCTCTCTCTCTCTCTCTCTCTCTCTCTCTCTCTCTCTCTCTCTCTCTCTCTCTCTCTCTCTCTCTCTCTCTCTCTCTCTCTCTCTCTCTCTCTCTCTCTCTCTCTCTCTGTCTCTCTGTCTCTGTCTCTCTCTCTGTCTCTGTCTCTGTCTCTCTCTCTCTCTCTCTCTCTCTGTCTCTCTCTCTGTCTCTCTCTCTCTCTCTCTCTCTCTCTCTCTCTCTCTCTCTCTCTCTCTCTCTCTCTCTCTCTCTCTCTCTCTCTCTCTATCTCTCTCTCTCTCTCTCTCTCTCTCTCTCTCTCTCTCTCTCTCTCTCTCTCTCTCTCTCTCTCTCTCTCTCCTCTCTCTCTCTCTCTCTCTCTCTCTCTCTCTCTCTCTCTCTCTCTCTCTCTCTCTCTCTCTCTCTCTCTCTCTCTCTCTCTCTCTCTCTCTCTCCCCCCTTCCATTTTCCACTCACTCCATGCCTGTGACCGTATGGTATTGTACTTTGAATCGTGAATACAAAGCATTGGTAATTTCTTGTGGGAGGCATTAGCAGTTGTTGATACATCGTGGTGTGTCGTGTGAACAAGTTCTGCTGGCAATTAGCAGTGGCTGGGAGGAGCTTGGAGGAGAAGACTCTTGCTTTTTGAAGTATCCTCCCAATCAGGGAGCCAGTGGATCCTGGCGAACAGTAGTAAAATGTCATGGCTGCTTTTCTTACATGACACTGTATTCAGTGCGTAACACTATGTCTATGTAACACTGACTGCGCCCTGACACTTTCTTCAGAGTTGCAGCGTTCAATTCAGTGGGGGCATCATGTCGCCAGCAAGCCCCCGTCCCATCCCGTGTCTCCTGTGTAGTACGTTCTGTGTTTACTTTACAAGGGATTCAGGTTGTTGACACATTCTCACATTGTCCTGTAGGGTTGCATGTATCATTGTATGTCTATCATGTCGTCTTACATGCTCCTGGAGCCC